ACCAGCTTTCTTTGGTTCTTGTCTTGACCCTTTCTGGCCTCTAGGCTTTCACTCAGGTCATCTCCCACCTCAGAGACACAGTCCTTCCTTCTGGACTCAGCCCTTGAAATCCCTTTCTTCCTTCAGGGCAACTCAGCTGTGACCTGCTCCACCTCCTGGCTTCATGGCTGAAACCCCACCTTCTATAGGAAGCCTTTCCCAATCCCTGTTAATTCTAGTGCTTTCCCTTTGTTGTTTATTTCCTATTTATCTTCTGCATAGCTTGCTTGTACATAGTTGTTTGCATGTTGTTTTCTCCATTAGTCTGTAAGCCCCTTGAGGGAAGGGACTGTCTTTTGTCTTTCTTTGCATCCCCAGCACTTAATCTTGTGCTTGGCATATAGTATGTACCTAATAAATGTTTATTGACTGACTGACTCCATGAAGCCTGCCTTGAATGCCCTGACTGAAAGTGATCTGCCTTTCTCATTTTTTATTAATAACTCTTCCCTGTTTGTTACATGGCCTATTCTCTTTGTTAAACCGTAAGCTCTTTGAGGGCCAGAGACTCTGGCATTTTTTTCCCCTTCATTTTAATATGTGTATTACCTAGAGTGAGTCCTTAATAAGTATGTTTTGAATATATTTATGTAAAAATGCAAAGAAAGAAAAGAGAACATCGGTGGGGGAGAGGAGTGTTTGGCACGATGTCTTGAAGAGAGTAGGCATTTCAATATTTGTTGACTTGGTTTTGTTGAGAGAGAAGGAGAGAAGGAGGAGTGTGGGCACCAGCGAGGGAACAAATATGTAAATTAGGCTTGTAGGAGGCATCAGAACAGAGAAGGGACAGGAAGTTTTAAAAATCCAGGATTGTCCTACTTAATGCAGACTTTGTGTTCCCCTGATGTTTTACTTGGAATTCACCTATGATGGTATTTATTGTTACTGGCATGAAATGGTGTTGGTCCTTCATCTGGGCTCTGCCACAGTATCATCCTGCCCTCCTTCCTCCCATACACACATTATGGGACTATGTCCCTTTTATGGACTAGAAGCCAGAAGTGTCTGAGATTCTCTGCTTATCTAAAGGCCGGAGGACTGTGGGTAGCCTGAATGTGTTTTGTCATCACCTCTTCCGGGTCCCTTTGGGCAGAAAGCCAAAGTCAACCGTCCTCAGTCAGCCTTTCTCCTGTTGGTGCTGCCAGCCCAGGGGCCTTTCCATTTCCTGTGTCTAACTGCACCTGAGCAGAATGTTTCCCATTAGGTACAGCTTGGGGGTTGAAACAGTATCCTGAAGGTGTGTGCCTTAGAAACGACTCTAGCCTTCACCAAGTTGTAGCTGCTGTCTCTGAATGACCTTCTTTTTCTTTCTTTCTTTCTTTTTTTTTGGTAGAAAAGGAAATAACTAGGGAATGTTTCTTTGTGTTTTTGTCTTTCTTTGTATCCATCAGCCCTCAGCACAGTGTTTGGTACGTAGTAAGAGCTTAATAAAGGCTTATTGGTTGATTATTGGTTGACAGAATCATAGATTTAGAACTAGAAGGGACCTTCACAGACATCTAGTCTAACCCCTTCCCTTTACAGATAGAGGACACTGAGGCACAACATCATACAGGTAATAAGTACGTAACAGAACCAGATTCAATCCCAAGTCTTCTGGTTCCAAATCTGGTCCTCTCTCTACATTGTCACCCTTTTCCCCTCCTCTCTCATCAATTTAACTCATCAAATATTTACCAAGTCCCTACTATGTGCCACACACTATGTTAGGTTCTGAGGATACAACATCAAAAAGGGAGCACTCCCTGACGTCAAGAAGCTAATGTTCTGCTCAACCTGTCCTGATGTAGACTCCAGGAGGCCCATCTCCTATCCTGACTCATGGGGTTCCATTCTTTCTCATCCTACCTGGTAGGATGGGCCCAAAGACTTCCTGAGACATGGGCCTGAGGAATCTGAGCTCCAAGCCTGGAAACTGAGGGGCAAGCACTCAAAAGCAAAAGTTGTCATCACCAACCTGCCAAGGTGACCTTGAAGAAAGGCCGTCTGCCTCAGCCCACTGTCACAATCTTCCCCTTTGTCAGAGAGAAGCAGGTGTATGGTAAGCTGGTGAACATTCTCTGATTATTCAGCCTCTGGCATGGCACAGGAGATTTCTAGTGATGGCTAAACCAGGGGAAACTGAATGAGACTGCTGCTTAGATGTGAAAGAAAAGGTGGACCAGGGAATTTTCCCAGGAAGACTGCAGATCCCACTGAGCTCTAAACTAGACTGGGAGTGAGTTTGGACTTCTGAAGAAGTTGGTCAAAAAAAAGGTTTGGTAAGAACAATGGAGAGTTATATAGAAGGGGATGGAATACCACATAGATGCCAGATGTTGGGATGTTGTTAATACAGCCAATACATTAGAAAAAAAAGGGGGGGAGGGTGATCTGGATTGAGGGTAGCCTGAGGAAACATTTGTTGGTTTTCCAAATTGTCAAACATTGTTGTGGGTTCCTGAGGGAGGGTTGTGGAGTCATAAGAACACTGCACTAGGGAGTTTGTGGGTGTGTGTTCTAGTCCTGGCCTTGCTACTAACCAGATTTGTGGTTTTAGGCAGGTCATTCCATCTCCATTTGTAAAAGAACGTAGTGGAGCCTATTTCCCTAGGCCTTGATGATCTCTAAGGTGCCTTGTAATGGTCACATTCTATGAAGCTCTTTTAATCTCTTCATTCTTTCTTTGGGTATGTGTGGGTGGGCAGTTGTGGGTCCTATCTGTGATTTCATTGGTACGGGAACTTCCAAAATTTGAGCTCCCTCCACTAGTACAGATCAACTACTAGTCCATAATTTATATTTTTAGAGAGTTTCCTAGGGATGCCAAGAAGTTAAATGACTTGTCCATGGTCATAGAGCTAGTATGTGTCATCTGTTGTACTTAAACCCAGGTTTTCCTGGCTCCACAGCCAGGCGCTCTACCACTACATCTTGTTCCTTCTCAGCAGACCTACTCTATTGACTTATAGGGCAAATTCTCATCCATGCAAGCTGGGTTAGACATATTCCTGCCTGAAAGCAGGGAAATGGAACAGATCCCATTTAACATCTCTGTCTTGGTCCAAAGATTTTTTTTATTCCATTTTTACAACCACCAAACTACTTGCATTTTTTTTTCTGCAATGACCCAGTTCCCTTGCCAACTCCCAGCACATGTCTTTAAATTAAAATATATGTATATATATATATATATATATTTTTTTTTTTAATTTATCAAATGAGATAGGATTTGGAAAAAATGCTTAGTATAGTACCTGCTACATGGTAGGTGCTTAATTCAGGCTTCTTTTTTATATTATCTTCATTTCAGAATACATTCCTCCTCTTCCCCTACTCGGTGAGCCATCCCTTGTTTAAAAAAAAAAAACAGGATCGGGGGAAAGGCAATAAAGAGAAGAGAAAAAATCAACTCAGTAAAACTAATCATGTATCAACTGTCTGATTATAAATGCACCATTACATATCCATCCTCCCCTCTCTCTCTCCAATGAAGGGAAGGAGGTACATTTTCTCATTTGTTTTTTTAGGGATTAGCCTGTTTGTTTTTAGTTATTCAGTATTTAGTTTAATTTGTCTTGTGTACTTTTGATGTACGTTCATTGTTGTTTTCCTGGTTCTTCTGACTTCACTTCGCTTTAGTTCATATAAATCTTCTTGTGGTTTTCTGAAGTCTTCATATTGACCATTTCCAATAATGTGGTAATATTACATTACTTTCATTACTATACTTTATAATTTAATATTTCCCCAATCAAAGGTCATGTATTTTGTTTCCAGTTCTTTGCTACCACAAAAAGTGTTGCTATCAATATTTTGGTATATATAGGATCTTTTGCCCCCTTTCTTTGACTTTCTTAGGGGTATATGTACCTGGTAGTGGGATCTCTGGATCAAAAAGCATGGATATTTTGGTCACTTTCTTAGCATGATTCCAAATTGTTTTCTAGAATGATGAGATCAGTTTTCACAGTTCTTTCAATAGTATATTAATGTCACTCAATAAACATTTATTTAGCACCTACTATGTGCCAGTCACTATGATAAGCACTGGAGACACAAAAAGAGGCAAACAACAGTCCCTGACCTCAAGGAGTTTACAACTTAATGTGACCAGCTTTCCATAGTACCTTCAACTTTGAAAGTTTCCATCTTTTTAAAAATATTTTCCAGTTTGCAGGGAATAAGATGAAATGTCAGGTTTTTGGATTTGTGTTTCTCTTACTGTTAGTGGTTGGGAGTAATGTTACACATAGTTAAAAATTTTCAATACTTTTCAAAATTGTTTGTTCCTATCTTTTGCTTCTCTGATGGTTCTTTGTCTTAGATATTTGTGTTAATTCCATATGTGTTTTGGACACCAGACCTTCATCAGAGATGTTGGATAAAAATATTTTTCCAGTCTATAGCATTGCATTGATTTTGTTGATTCATTTAATTCAATTTCACATAATCAAAATAATCTGTTTCATCTCCGCTGTTGCCTTTGCTCTTTGATGGATTGAGCATTCTCTCCAGTGCCATATCTGTGAAAGATACCTGAGCTGGTTCTCTTCTTATTTTTTTATGGTGTAACTTTTAATATTTGAGTCATTTGTCCATTTTGAACTTATTGTTATATATGGTATCAGATGTTGTTCTAAACCTATTTCCTTCGTATCATCTGTTTTCCAGTTCTCCCAGCAGCTCTTGTCAAATAGAAGGTTCTTCAACAAGTAATATATGTTCTTGAATTTATTGAATATTGGGTTATTGACTTCAGGGGTTTCTAATTCTTCCTTAGCTAGTCTGAAATGCTGATTTACTTTTCTATTTTTAACCATTATCCAATAATTATGATGATCTTGACTTTAAAGTATAATTTAAGACTTCCAGCCTATTTCTACAAGTCCTTCTGGCCTTCACTTAGAGCCATTTCTCTGGGCAATAAGCTAGCAGTTCGGATGCATTGACCTAATTGTTTTTCTCCTCTTTCTGTACAGTATGAATTCAAAGCCAAGAACATCAAGAAAAAGAAAGTGAGCATCATGGTATCAGTAGATGGAGTAAAAGTGATTCTGAAGAAAAAGAAGAAGGTGAGTATCCCTGAATCTGCAGCTGGGGGGTGGGGAGGGGGTGGGGAGGAGGAGGGGAACCAAGACAATCTGAATGTATCCAGATCCCCTCCCCTCTTTTTGATGCTGATACCAGAGCTCAGATTTTAAACCATGAGAAATGAGTAACTTTGATCCAGGGGTAGGTGGCATGGGGGGAGGGGCTTGCATTTTCTTTATAAAAGGAGGTTTCCTCTTTATCTCACCTCTTTCTCATTATTGGCCTTTGACACCCTGCCCTGTCCCAGAATTTGGCTCTGACTATATTGATTCATTCATCAAACATTCATAAAGTGCCCCTTATATACCAGGTACTGGAAATTCAAAGAGAAACATAACCCCGCCCCCTCAAGGAACTTAAATTCTATTGAGGGGTAAATGGAGGACAGCGTTGGGTGGGTGGGTGGGGAGACTGACACATATGCAGATAAACCAAAATATATAAAAAGTTGGGAAGGCCCCAATTACTGTGTGCTGTTGATATAATGCCTTCTTTTTATTCTTAGTGCTTATTAGTTTGTTTTAAGAGCCTGGTCAGGAATGTTTTTGATTGAAACCAGGTGTGGGGCTGGGAAGTAAGGTGGGGCAGAATTCCTCAGGCTTCTGCTGTCGCTCTTGCTGCCTGCCGAAGTGGCTGCATTGGTGGTGACTGACTGGCCCCAAAAGTGTGTGTGTGTGTGTGTGTGCCTGTGTGTGTGGAGGTACTAATATTGGGGAGTTGGTGTTGGTGAACCTTGGGAAACATTCGAGTGTGGTAAGTTGAACCCTGTGTTCATATGAAGGAAGGATGATGGGGTTAGTTGATCAGAATATTGTAAGTGAAGCAGCAGTGGTACTAACCTGGTGTTTTCCACAATCCAATTTGGATCATGGGCTATAGGACATGGAGACGGAAAGGACCTTTAGAGGTCACCTAGTCCAACACCGTCAATCTACAGATGAGGCGACTGAGGCCCAGAGAGGGGAGGGATTTGCTCACGGTAAAACAGTGAGCTGAACTCTGATTTGGACTCAGGTCCTCTAAAAAGCAGATATAACCCAAGGTGATGCTGGTGTCCATGTGAAAGGGGAAGAGGGACAGCAGGGTGTGCTGCTTTCAGGAGCCCATTGTTACTTCCTGAGAATGCTCCTTTGATTGTGAGGTTGGGTTTGTGTAAGAAAAGATAGGAGGTAAAACTGTTCCCCAAAGACTACCACCTTCAAAATGTAAGGGGCCCAGGGAATTTATAACCATTCCCTAATGAGCCCCCTCTGTAGAAACCTCAGCAAGTGCTATGTTTCGTGTTGGGGAGAGAGCAAGAAAACTTCTTCCCCTCACAGTAATTAGTTGTGACATCATGCTCAAAACAGAGTTGTCCCTGGGGCCCAGGTGGCATACTGAAACCAGGTGGGTACCTGAAGCAAGCTGGGTTCTGACAGGTGGGGAAGGTCTCTGGGTACCAGTTAAAGAAATTAGGTGGGTGTATGAGAGAGAGTGTTTAATACTAACAGGCAGCCCGAGGCCACAGTTGCCCAGCATTGACCTCTAAGGAGGACAGTTACGAATGACATAAAGGTTGATTGGAATTAAGCACTGTTGACTCTTGCCATCCTGATAGGCTGAGTCACATCCTGGCATCTGCCATAGCCATCATGTATTTTGGTCGGCTCAGTGGATGGGGGAGGGTAGTGAGGAGGAGGAGGGAGGGTAGAAGGTGGGCCTCCATAGGTCAATTATGATATGGCCTCTAGGCTCCTGGTGGGAGCAACTAGGGAGCCCTGGTGTATATCCCTGAAAAGAAAGCTGTGAACTCCCCCAACTGCCTTTTCAAAATCAGCAGCGAGCCAAGGCATCAAGAAAAGGAGAAATGCCTCTTCTAGCAAGAGAATGAAAAATATGCCAGAAAAAGATCTAATAGATTGAAACACAACCTCCCCAAGGGAATCAGGAGGGACTCCGTGAGTCACTCAAAACTCAGCTCTTCAGTTAGCTGGGAGGAGTGAGGAAGAATGATCTCATAGCTCTTTCTCACATGTGATTCTTCTGATGCCAGGCTGAGAAAAGAAGTTCACCTTTCACCTACTCCTCCCACACCTGGTTTCTCTTTCAGGGATGTGACTGTGCGCTTGGTGATCCCTCTAATCTTGGTTTCATTTTTCACAGTAACTGACAGTGGAATGTACAATAAATAGCAATCAGTCTTGTTGATTTTCTTATGCACCAGCCCACGTGGCACCAAGCACCCCTGACCCTGTGTCTGTCTCTCTTTCTTCTCATAATGACGATAATCACCACCAATCTCATTTCCATTTCTATAAAACATTAGACTTGATAATGTTCTTGCATTACTACAGTGCTATAGGGCAGGTAATATAAAATTGTTTTAGCCTTCTTTTACGAATAAGGAAATTTGAGGCTCAGAGAGATGAAGGGAATTTGGTCCCACGGTCCTAGTTCGTTGTGGGAGCTGGGATATGAACTCAGGTCTCCAGATTCCAAGACTAGCATTTCTTTTTTTTTACCCTGCTGGGAAGTGGTGAGGATATAAATACAACCTGAAGATACTCAGTTTTCTTTGTGAGAAAATAGCCTTAGGGTTATCAAGAAGCAAGTAGCAGGTCTTAATACCCCAAATGGGCTACAAAAAAAGACTTAATTGGCATTATTCTCCTGCCTCCAAATGGCCAGTCTGTCAGCACTTCTGTATGGGGTCCAGACCTAAACCTAGGCTCTTAGGATCTAATGTGTTTAATCATGATCTGGTCCTGTAGCCTCTTCCAGGGTGACCTATAACCTAATTGGAGATGGGGGCCTCCCAGCAGCCAGGGCAATGATCATAACTGATGTTTATATAGGGCTTGAAAGAGTGCAACCCACACTATGTGCTTTATGGTCATTCAGTCAATAAACACATATTACGCATCTACTAGGAGCCAGGTGCTGTGCTAACTACTGGGGATACAAAGGAAGATAAAAGAAGCCCTGACCTCAAGGAGCTTACAATCTAATGGAAGACACAACATGCAAATAACTAGGTACGAACAAGCTACATACAGGACATATGGCTAGGTCCCCATCAGTGTGAATAATGAATCCTGGGAAGTAGTTGGATTATTAGAATTTTCATTGTATATGTCTACTGGATTAGAGCCAATTACCATATTTTACATATCATTACTTCAAATAGTATGAATTCAAATAATGTAACTGCTTTGGGGGATGTGTTATTCACACTGAGACCCAGCCGGATCTCATTCAATCCTCTTCTCATGATGTAGGTGCTATTATAATTTTCTTTTTATAGACAAGGAAATAGAAGAGGTTAAATGACTTACCCAAAGTCATGCTGCTGGTGATCATCTGAGGCAAGATTTGAATCCAGATCATAATTGACTCTGAGTTTACCAAGCTATTCATCACACTGCACTGTCCCTATGGGTGGCCCCCTGGAAAATGGGGAGAGATGGTCAAACTGCCCCTTCAGGGAGATCTCTACCTAGCAGTAGCAGGGAGGAGAACTAAATATGAAGGTAGCTCCCTTTCTTTTTTATTTCATTTGCATCAATCACAGGCTTATTAAACATGATGTCTACGCAAGATTCTCTTGCAGGAATGAATAGTGGGCACCCCTGGGGTGGAGGGAGGAGAGAATTGAAAGATAAAGCAATGTATGTGATTTTAACTTCTAGCATGACAGACTGGGGTGAGGTAGCATTAGAGTGAGGGATCCCTTCTCCTCCCCTCTTCCACCATCAGGCAGCCAGCAAAAGGCCACTAACACTCTCCAGTCTATCAGGACCCATTCATTGTTGCTCTTGGCACTGAAAAGAAATGTGGAAACAAGAGAACCCATTGGGAAGATGTGACCGAGTTACTGGTTCAGGAAACATGATTGGCCAAGTAGACCAAGAGAGTGGGCAGTGAGGCTGAGCTGTTTTGATGCTCGTTTCTTCCAGCCCTCAGTGTGCCCATCTGTGAGATGGGGAAAAGAGCCATTCCCACACAGAAGAGGACCTGGGACTATTTTATATGAAAGTGGTAATTACCGCATCACCATCTTTCTCTGATGAATCTTGCTTAAGAGACGTTGTAAGAGTGTGGGTACTGGCCAAGTACATGGTAATTATCTCTAGCTGATTTCTTTTTAAACCTTCTGGATATGTTAACAAATACCTAGAGGTCCTTCCTTCTGAACTGATTCCAACTTACAATGAATTTCTGGTTCCTTTAGAAGTTTAGCTTTGATGTGTCTTAGCTCATTTGTCTCTGCTCATCTGCTAAATCTAAATTATTACCTTCTCTGTGCATGTGAGGACTGTGGTCATCCACCTCACAGGGCAGAGCTGTATATAAGGCAGAAGGAATGGAACCTATGTGAGGGCAGGGATTGTTAGGTTTTTGCCTTTGTATCTCCATCTCCTCTGTATTCCCCAAAACATGGGGAAAGTGGCTGTACTAGATCAAATACAATGAGGAATTCTATGCTGGGAATGACTCAAATTTTTAAAGCATTGAGGGATTATTTTGCAGTTTATAAACAACTGGGGTGCAGAGTAGATAGAGGATTGGATCTGAAGTCAGGGAGGCCTGAGTTCATATCTTGCCCCAGACACTTATGAACTGTGTAACTCTGGGCAGGTTACTTAACCTCATCTGCCTCAGTTTACTTTTCTATAAAAAAAAGGATAATGATAGCACCTCTCAGGGTTGTTGTGAGGATCTATGACATTTAAAAAGTTTGAGAGACATAATCTCTGGGTAACATAATCATTTTATTAATAAGGCTAGCATGTTTACTACCAAAAAGAGGTCGGAGGCACTTTCGAATACCAAAGACCCCTCATGGCAGTGGGTTCACAGTTTATATGTCCTTGGAAGAGGGTATGTTTCTGAGGGTGGTGGCCAACTCTGATTGGTTAATAATTGATGAGAGAGAACAAATATTGCAGTGGGATGTAGGCTTATTCTAATGAAGGCCTTGGGGTATGGACTTGAATCACCC